GTAGGTAATGGAAGCATTCGGGAATATTTTGTAAATACCATCATGTTCATCAAGACTAAAAGTCATTAAAACAATACTTTTAAGGTGCCCACGAATGTTAATTTTACATACGGAATAAAATCAGAAAGATCTCCTGCTATGAACAATGTGGGACCGTGAAATTGGTTATCTATCTTTGGAAACCCAGCAATTTCCTCATAATTCTCTTTCAATGCTGCAACATTAATTGCCCAACTATAGCTACAAAACTAGGATTTGCTTTTTTTATCTTTCATCAAATGGATTAAAAACTTTACCCATCTGCCATTGGAGTTATATTTGTAGCTAGAAAAGCCTTAAGGTCTTCACTGTCTATATATCTTCCCAACTGCTCTATAACCATTCGTCTACAAGCGGCCCTTGTTACCTTTTTAGGAAATTCTACCTTTTCCATTGCTTTAAATATCTTATCGATTGATCTTAATTGTGGGCTGACTGTAACCGGTGAAATATCAGCCACAACCAATTTTTCTATCAGTTCTGGCTAAAATTCCAATGAAGGCTTATAAAGAAACACACTTTCCTAATAACTACCGTAATTGCACAAAAACTGAAATGTAATCTTACCACTTACATACATCAATGCAAGTAACATCACAGTCCTGCCCCCCATAGAATGGCCCAGAAGAGAATATTTATTTAGATTTAATTGCGTCAATGTAAAACGCAGATCTTCTGCCATATGGGGATAAGTGTGTTCTGATGAATGTTCACTGTCACCATGATTTCTAAGGTCAACCGCGATCGTTGTTCTTTTCGTATTCTCATTCAAATTTTTGGCTATTGTAGCCCAATTCGTTTTATTACCGAATAAACCGTGAGCAATTATAACAGGAGCCAAAGATGGATCTCCATCTATTTTATTATATGCTAAAGAAATGGGTGTTATGTTTTTAACAGCGCAGAACATACGTTTGCTAACATTTAAAGGTATTATTAAAGACCTAGCTAATTTAATATACAGTAGCATTTTTAAATATAGGACTTCTTAATAAATAAGTTTTCAAAAAAAACAAAGGTTATGTACAACTTTTTTTAAGGTTAATTAACTGTCAGTGTCAACGGTGTCAACCATAGATAATAGATATACAAAGGGTGACAACTAGTCAGTGATGTCAACATATCGAAAATGAAAACAGAATTACAAATAAATCAATTTTTTTTTAATTTACTAAACTGAGAATTAATATTCGTTTCTGTTATTTTGCATTTACTTGCAAGTTAGTTTTTTATAAATATTAAGCTTCAAATGCCAAAAAAGATGTTTTTCCATATTACATCCATTTACTAGTTACTTTCTATAGTGATTTTTGTATTAAAAAATACCAAAGGAAAGAATGTTAATTACGTCATTACTACAATGATAAGTTTATAAGACGTTGAAACACAACCTTTATTTTGATCCGTTTTGAATAGTCGATTTGATGTGATTTCCACAATTAAACCCTGATCCATGACTTAACACGACTTATTTGTGAACAGAGTGTCACGTTTGTGCAAAATGGCAAAGGATTATGATCATCTCTTTAAATTGCTTATAATAGGTGACAGTGGTAAGTGGGGTGGGGTTAAGGCTGGAATTAACGCACTTCCTGCCTAAACCTAACGTTTATCGCAATTTTTGATTGTAGGGGTCGGAAAAAGCTCTTTGCTTTTAAGATTCTCCGATAACACGTTTACTGGGAGCTACATCACCACGATAGGGGTAGATTTTAAAATAAAGACTGTTAATATTGATGGACAGCGAGTGAAACTACAAATTTGGGATACTGCAGGACAAGAACGATTTAGAACTATTACTAGCACGTAAGAAAGTCACCGCTTAAATAAATATATAACAATATATTAACATACTTTATGGTTTGTAAAGGTATTACAGAGGAACACATGGGGTTATTGTAGTTTATGATGTTACCAATGGGGAAACTTTTGCTAATGTAAAGAGATGGTTACATGAGATAGAGCAGAATTGTGATGTAGTTAATAGAGTATTAGGCAAGTTTAATATTCTAATAATAACTGCTTTTAGAAAATATAAATTTTGATTTAATATCTTTTTGTCTATAGTGGGAAACAAAAATGATTGTCCTGACCGTAAAGTGGTATTAACAGAAGATGCAAAGAGATTTGCAGACACAATGGGCATTCAATTGTTTGAAACATCAGCAAAGGACAATATAAACGTTGAAGAGATGTTTTTAAGTGTAACCAGGTTAGTTTTGAGATCCAAACAAGAAATGAAAGAGCGCCAAAATGTCACATCAAATGATACTGTCAATTTGAGAAAGAGTAACAAGCAGGGTAAAAAAAAGTGCTGTTAACACACAACATTGTGTTATTTGTCTGGTGTTCATACAAAAATGTGAAAAAACTTCCTCAATAGATAATCATTTTGTTCATAGCTTTACATTTGCAAAAAAAGCCAAATATTATTGTTATTCAAATAAGTTCTGAAATGTTTATTTCCAATATATGGGAAATTTAATTTAGAATGCTGTCTAAAACTTTCTTATATGTAAATTGATATTTTTTTTTGGGTTTTTAAAGATCAAAAATTGGGTAAACTGGGATAATGTGCCCCCACATTTTTGCACAAGTTATTAGTAGTGGACTTTATTTGTTTCCTTATAAATAACACTTATTATATTTAAATTATTCAATTTTATTCAATATAATATCACAAGTTACACTTCTAATTATCTGAAGCTAAAGACGCTATTTACAAGTATTACTCAAAATGTTGATAAAAACGTATATAATAATGAGTATTAATTAAATTAGCTACTAATAAATAATCTAAGAATATTGTTTTCTAAAAATTATTCTTGATTAACTATTCAAAAATTCGGTAGTAACACGTACAAACTCCTTAGGATTATCGGCATGTAGCCAATGTCCTGCATCGTTAATGTAGGTAATGGAAGCATTCGGGAATATTTTGTAAATACCATCATGTTCATCAAGACTAAAAGTCATTAAAACAATACTTTTAAGGTGCCCACGAATGTTAATTTTACATACGGAATAAAATCAGAAAGATCTCCTGCTATGAACAATGTGGGACCGTGAAATTGGTTATCTATCTTTGGAAACCCAGCAATTTCCTCATAATTCTCTTTCAATGCTGCAACATTAATTGCCCAACTATAGCTACAAAACTAGGATTTGCTTTTTTTATCTTTCATCAAATGGATTAAAAACTTTACCCATCTGCCATTGGAGTTATATTTGTAGCTAGAAAAGCCTTAAGGTCTTCACTGTCTATATATCTTCCCAACTGCTCTATAACCATTCGTCTACAAGCGGCCCTTGTTACCTTTTTAGGAAATTCTACCTTTTCCATTGCTTTAAATATCTTATCGATTGATCTTAATTGTGGGCTGACTGTAACTGGTGAAATATCAGCCACAACCAATTTTTCTATCAGTTCTGGCTAAAATTCCAATGAAGGCTTATAAAGAAACACACTTTCCTAATAACTACCTTAATTGCACAAAAACTGAAATGTAATCTTACCACTTACATACATCAATGCAAGTAACATCACAGTCCTGCCCCCCATAGAATGGCCCAGAAGAGAATATTTATTTAGATTTAATTGCGTCAATGTAAAACGTAGATCTTCTGCCATATGGGGATAAGTGTGTTCTGATGAATGTTCACTGTCACCATGATTTCTAAGGTCAACCGCGATCGTTGTTCTTTTCGTATTCTCATTCAAATTTTTGGCTATTGTAGCCCAATTCGTTTTATTACCGAATAAACCGTGAGCAATTATAACAGGAGCCAAAGATGGATCTCCATCTATTTTATTATATGCTAAAGAAATGGGTGTTATGTTTTTAACAGCGCAGAACATACGTTTGCTAACATTTAAAGGTATTATTAAAGACCTAGCTAATTTAATATACAGTAGCATTTTTAAATATAGGACTTCTTAATAAATAAGTTTTCAAAAAAAACAAAGGTTATGTACAACTTTTTTTAAGGTTAATTAACTGTCAGTGTCAACGGTGTCAACCATAGATAATAGATATACAAAGGGTGACAACTAGTCAGTGATGTCAACATATCGAAAATGAAAACAGAATTACAAATAAATCAATTTTTTTTTAATTTACTAAACTGAGAATTAATATTCGTTTCTGTTATTTTGCATTTACTTGCAAGTTAGTTTTTTATAAATATTAAGCTTCAAATGCCAAAAAAGATGTTTTTCCATATTACATCCATTTACTAGTTACTTTCTATAGTGATTTTTGTATTAAAAAATACCAAAGGAAAGAATGTTAATTACGTCATTACTACAATGATAAGTTTATAAGACGTTGAAACACAACCTTTATTTTGATCCGTTTTGAATAGTCGATTTGATGTGATTTCCACAATTAAACCCTGATCCATGACTTAACACGACTTATTTGTGAACAGAGTGTCACGTTTGTGCAAAATGGCAAAGGATTATGATCATCTCTTTAAATTGCTTATAATAGGTGACAGTGGTAAGTGGGGTGGGGTTAAGGCTGGAATTAACGCACTTCCTGCCTAAACCTAACGTTTATCGCAATTTTTGATTGTAGGGGTCGGAAAAAGCTCTTTGCTTTTAAGATTCTCCGATAACACGTTTACTGGGAGCTACATCACCACGATAGGGGTAGATTTTAAAATAAAGACTGTTAATATTGATGGACAGCGAGTGAAACTACAAATTTGGGATACTGCAGGACAAGAACGATTTAGAACTATTACTAGCACGTAAGAAAGTCACCGCTTAAATAAATATATAACAATATATTAACATACTTTATGGTTTGTAAAGGTATTACAGAGGAACACATGGGGTTATTGTAGTTTATGATGTTACCAATGGGGAAACTTTTGCTAATGTAAAGAGATGGTTACATGAGATAGAGCAGAATTGTGATGTAGTTAATAGAGTATTAGGCAAGTTTAATATTCTAATAATAACTGCTTTTAGAAAATATAAATTTTGATTTAATATCTTTTTGTCTATAGTGGGAAACAAAAATGATTGTCCTGACCGTAAAGTGGTATTAACAGAAGATGCAAAGAGATTTGCAGACACAATGGGCATTCAATTGTTTGAAACATCAGCAAAGGACAATATAAACGTTGAAGAGATGTTTTTAAGTGTAACCAGGTTAGTTTTGAGATCCAAACAAGAAATGAAAGAGCGCCAAAATGTCACATCAAATGATACTGTCAATTTGAGAAAGAGTAACAAGCAGGGTAAAAAAAAGTGCTGTTAACACACAACATTGTGTTATTTGTCTGGTGTTCATACAAAAATGTGAAAAAACTTCCTCAATAGATAATCATTTTGTTCATAGCTTTACATTTGCAAAAAAAGCCAAATATTATTGTTATTCAAATAAGTTCTGAAATGTTTATTTCCAATATATGGGAAATTTAATTTAGAATGCTGTCTAAAACTTTCTTATATGTAAATTGATATTTTTTTTGGGTTTTTAAAGATCAAAAATTGGGTAAACTGGGATAATGTGCCCCCACATTTTTGCACAAGTTATTAGTAGTGGACTTTATTTGTTTCCACCATAATAGACCGAAGTATATGCCTGTAAACCAACTAAATTTTAATGTAATATAGCATCAATAATAATAACTTGCACAAAATGTGATCTATAGCTGCAGGGGCAGATTACTCCTCTTGCTACAGCCTTTTGAATGAAATTATCATTCAATATAAAATACCAAAATGCTTCAGTACATACTATTCCATGTCGTAATTGCCACATTCTTTGCATTTTGCCAGTATTAATTAATTAAAAAAATATATATAATTGGGCTTTTGTATTAATATATTCAATAATTTTTGTCTGTTTTTAAAAGAAGTATGTAAGACCTCTAATTCCGCCATATAATTTCAATGTGTGATATACATGATAATCTCCTTAATCTAAATTTTAATCTGTAGTTTTGTACGTCTTCTTTTTAATATACCAATACAAATTAGAAATGAAATGTTATAAAACGAATTTGTTAGGTAGTGTACTATATAGAACGCGAAAAATAAACGATTTTTTATCTAAAGAAATTAGGTGAATTTTAATGGGTATAACTACAGAATAATTATGGCATAATTTGCTAATTTTACATTATTTCCAGTTGGGTTTTTATATGTACAGTTTATATTATGTAATTGTATAGTGCAATTAATTACACCTTTTACGAGTGCAAGTAAAAATGTAATACTACATTAGTCATATCAGATTTAATTTCCTAAATACTTTACTAATCTAAACGACATGGGCGTTTGAAGTTAATTCCCTCCTCTTTAAATATTTTTTTTTATTTAGTTGTTAGACCATAAAAAAGTGAATAGTTCAAATGTCCTTGTGGTTTAAAATATATTAATTAATTAATGTCATTATTCCTCTGATAAAGGAATTAAAAATGTATTTAGCTTTGTAAATATGTATATTGAAATCAAGTGTTAGACTTGTATCTATACTTAGTCAAAATTCGAAGTTTCCTATTTTTTTAAGACAAAAAATGTCAAAATGCTCATGTACAACTAAAGTGTAATGATATATATTATATAAAAATGTAACTTAGGAACATTAATACCTATTTAGATTGTTTATTATTTAGAAATATGTTTTGTTGTCCCTATTTTATATTACTGTTTTAAACTTCTTAAGTTCTTTGTGCATTTACTGCTTGCATCTGTGCAAGTTTTCATCGTGTATGTACTTTTTTTCTAACAAAATTGTATGTATTATTGTTGTACCAATTTAATAAAAAAAGAATATATCTCACCCTTGTTTTTGAATTGCACGCAATCATCATAAAGGGAACATAAATAAACTTACCTGAAAAACAAATAAATTAATTAATTAATTAATTGAAGTTATTTAAAAATACTTTATGTATAATTAATCTTCAGTAACGTTATAAAAAAAGATTGTTGATGTATTAATATACAAATTGTTGAAAATGTAAATGTTTAAAAAATATTAAAAGCAAATAAAAAATGATTCAAGGCGACATCTACTAATTACATGGTGTATTAAAATTGCAATAAAACATTAACTAATTCCATTTAGTGAAGACAAATACCGCGAAAAATTGTCGAACAAAAATCTTGATTTTGTTACAGACAACAGTAAAATCATTTCTCCTGACGATGTCCTGAAAATACCACGAGTTACCGAAGCTTACTTGTGTTCACCTGATGCAAACATTTATGAAATAGATTTCACAAGATTTAAAATAAGAGATCTCGAAAGTGGTGCTGTGCTTTTTGAAATTGCAAAGCCGCCTGTAGACCACACAGACGAAAATGTAGAAAACGAAGAAGTTATTGACCCGAATGCGGGTAGATTCGTAAGATACCAATTCACACCCCAGTTTTTGAAATTAAAAACTGTAGGAGCAACGTAAGATACCCCATTTTACGTGTTTTTTTATTGCACCTTAATGTTAATTAAAATGAATTTATTAGAGTGGAATTTACTGTTGGATGTAAGCCAGTTAATAAGTTCCGTATGATTGAGAAGCATTATTTTAGAGATAAACTACTCAAAACATTTGATTTTGAATTTGGCTTTTGCATTCCATACTCCAAGAACACTTGTGAACACATTTATGAATTTCCCACCTTATCACAGGAGTTAAGTACGAGCATTTTTCAAGTTTCGACCACAATTATTTATCTAAACTGTTCATTTTCATTTCAGTTGAAGAAATGATCGCTTCGCCGTTTGAAACACGCTCAGACAGCTTTTATTTTGTTGATGATCGCCTTGTTATGCATAATAAAGCTGATTATGCTTACAACGGAGGTGTTAATGTTTAGTACTTAAACCACAGGGTTACAATTGACTATTCACTGCACATTTTGCATTTAGTATATTTATAGAGGGAATATGGGCTTTAAATTTTAAGCCAAAGCACAAACTTTAAAAACAATACCAAACACTGGTTTGTTTTGAATCCGTAATGGCACCTATCATTTTTTTTTTGAGACAGAAGACATTTTGCTATTTGGACTAATTAAAAATATTTAAATTTTTTAGATAACTGCTATATCTCCTCAAAGCTTAAATTGATACAGTATTTGTGTTGCATTCCTATTGTATGTGATATATTGTTTATTTCTATTGTATATAATTTTATGTGTTACATAATGTATTTCGTAGTTATTTTGTATCAAGTGCAATGTTATTAAAAAATTTTTTTATTATGTTTCTAGTCTAAATGCTTACAAATATATGTAGGATATGCTTTATTTTACAGAACGTTAATTAGTTGTTTATATTTTTCTATTCTAGTCTTTTGTTTCCATATTTAAATTAAAGGAAACAGTAAATATATAGATTATATTTTAAGGTAAATTTTTATCTTATCTTTTAAGAATATTTTGGGCTATAGTTGAAAAGTAAATCAAAATATAATAAACGTTGTCTCAAAAGGACAGGCTAATATTTGGTAGCAAACGTTTTTATATTTATATACCATTATTACAGAATGTGTTATGGATTTTGCTTAAAAATAAAGAAAGTTTTGCAATTAAAGTCTATTAATGCAAACCCAACTGGAAATGTTATCATATTCGAGTTTATCAAACAGCCATAAGTATCATAATTCATGATTTCTAAGGCAATGTAACCTAGGGTATTTTTATTAACTTCCAAAAA